GAGGGGTTTAGAGACACACTGACGAGGAAGGTGCGGATTCAGAAAGGTGCGGATTCATGGACTACATCCATGCATTCTCCCCCTTTCCCACCGCGCCTCCATACACGCCTCCTCCCGCAGTTAACCACGCAGCTGTTATATCCACATTCTCCCGCCAGGTGGCAGCCCTAGCTACAGCTTGCTGGAGAGTCCCGATGCCTTCAGCCTGCCGTGCAGTCCGATGCAGACGCCGACGACGCCGTACGAACGCGCTCGGGCGGCTTCGTGGGCCTGCCTGCCGGGAATGACCGACTTTACACGAAGATCGATGACGTCAGTGATGATGTCACCGGACAAGCAGCGCTACTACGCCGCGCTGTCGCAGTCATGGCAACTAGAGCTGAATGACCCGAGGTCACCAACAGAGGTTCCTGGCTAGTTCCGGTCACCAACAGAGGTTCCCGGCTAGTTCCGGTCACCAACAGAGGTTCCCGGCTAGTTCCGGTCACTCACGGAGGTTCCCGGCTAGTTCCGGTAACTGACGGAGGTTCCCGGCTAGTTCCGGTCACTGACGGAGGTTCCCGGCTAGTTCCGGTCACTCACGGAGGTTCCCGGCTAGTTCCGGTCACTCACGGAGGTTGCCGGCTAGTTCCGGTAAATGACGGAGGTTCCTGGCTAGTTCCGGTCACTCGTCAAACAATATGGCCGACCGAGAAGTTTAATTAAAATAACTCGTAGAAATTCTAATGAACACTGTCACACGCCGGTATGAATTATACGCGCGCATTTATATGATGATCAAACATTGTTATTGATCGAATGAATGATATTTGTCAATATTTTCTGTGATTTATTAGAACTTGTATTCAAACGACTGTGTTGCAAACAATCGACTGTGTTCTCGTATTTATGCTAACAACCTTATTGCTGCTGCTTAATTTAAACTCCTCTCACTTGCTCTCCTCGTGTCTTCTCTTATCCATTTTCTTCTCCTCAGATCACTTGTTCATACTACATGCCATTCCTTCTCTTACGCTCGTCTCCCTCTTGCTTTTCTTCATCCTATTTCTCCACATTTTACATCTCCTCTGTTTCATCTTGTCTAATGAACTTTAATCGTGCGGAATTTCTACTCAACGGGAAATGGAAGGATATCGTAAAGTAAATCAACCGGATCAATGTTTCCTTCAATTACATTGCTAGTGATTAGATTATTGTGACTACTGCTGCTGCTGCTGCTGCTGTGGCTGCTGCTGCTGCTGCTGCTGCTGCTGCTGTGGCTGCTGCTGCTGCTGCTACTGCTGCTG